GAATACTTGGTCACGGTTTTATAACTGGTACGACAAACACATGTAGGCAAGCTTGCAGGAGACAGACCAATAGTTTACTAAATGAAATATATACCTGTTAGGATGATAGAGGCAGAAAAGTTGCTTACACAGTTCATGAGAAATTGTTATTAAGGCGGAATAGGTATTAGTATAAATATTGGTAGAATTAAGAATAACCTCCATGTATTTGTTTGTATGTATGTATATGTATGTATATGTTATGATTGTTTGTGTATGTTATGTGGAAAATGCAATAAAATCCTGCCCCTTTGGGGGGGCAGTTAAAAAAACAAAAAAGCAGGTGCTAAGAGGTACCAAAACCTATTAGGGCAGAGAGTCAACAAAATGGCCGCTCTCCTTTTGAGACTGCGACAGATCACTGTTAACCAGATCACTCCCGCAGGCGCAGCACGTCCGTGGTTCCCAGGCAGTGGAGGGTGGTGGAACTGCAGCGGGTCCAGTGGCAGTCCCGTGGATGTAAAATGAATCCTGCCCTGACCTGGATGGTCCAGATTAGCCCAGTCTCGTCCAATCTCCTCAGATCTGTCCCAACATCCTTAATGTCTTAGGAGGTTACAAAATAGAATTTGTGTTGGCAAAAAAACATTCTGGAGGCACTTTAAATACTGGCATTTTCTTCCTGGATGCAAGCGAAGCCGTGAGGCCGGAGGAGAGAGAGATTTTTCAAATGCCATGCAAGTTTCCAAAGAACATTTGAGATATTTGGAAAAGGGTGCATTAGCAGTTGAGCTTAAGGCCCTGCAATTTCTGTGCACCCTGCAGCAACTGGCCACTGACCTCTCTCATCAGGTCTCGGATAAATGCACAATGTCACGGAATACTATGGAAGAAAGAAGGCGTTGTGAATATGCAATATCTTATAGAAAGGGAGTGAGTGAGCAAAGCTGTGTCTGTTGTACTCTAATTGGGGAAGTGCTCACTTTCCCTAACACAAGTAATTAAAGATGATGCCCCAGTTTCATGTGTAAAGCATGAATGCAGTACTTTATTGGACTGTTTGGGTACCAAGTAGCCGGCTGCAAAGGAATCTGAGTCTCCTGTCTTCTTTATTAGAATTGCTAGTTGGCCGGGGTGGGGACGGAAGGACTCCATTGCCTAGAGTTCATGCTGCAGAAATCAGAAGGCAAAAGCTTTACATGGCCTGAAGCTTCCCACTGCTAAAGCAAGAGATGGTTCAAAAGTTGACCACTCTAGCCTTTAACTGGCCGGAAAATAATGTGTCCGCTGTAGCTGTCAACATGAAGTTCGTGTGTTGGTAGGGTTGCCAAATCAGTCTTTGCCGGGAGCAGGGGGCTCCCGGCCGGTGTCGGGTGAGTGCGCGCGCGTCGCGTGCACATCACCCGGAAGTGACGTGGGCACGCTGGGGGCAGGGCCACGGCCATACAAGGGAAAACCATAGAGTTTAATTTGGCAGCCCTATGTGTTGGGGTGGAAGTCGTGCCTGTTGAATATCTGCCTGTCATGCACAGTGCTAAAGGCATAAACCCCAATTTTCAAAATGGCTGTGTTTTCAAGGAGGATATGAGTAAGGAAGCCATGGGCAAGTGTTGGTGTGGGGGGACAGATGGGAGTTGTTTCCTTGCTAGTAGGCCGGCCAGCCAGCAGCGTTCAGGGAACCGGCAACATTTCCGACCATATTTTTCTTCCTTTAAGGCTGCCTTCTTGCACAAGCTTTGTGTATCTGCGTCTCTTATCTGCCTCTTTTCCTCTTTTCTTTGTCTGCTTTATCATTACTGGCATAGAGGATGTCGCCTGCCTTGTTAGATATCCGGGCAGCAAAGGCCACAAAAGTCCCCCGCACAAAAGTGAAATGGTGTCAGCCTCATAACAGTAGAGAAGAGAAATGGACCCATGGCAAACGTAGTCCCTCTTGTTGCAAGCTTCTGTCTGCATTCAGATGAGACAGTCTATGGTCAGTGTCAGGGGTCATTTCGTAGAAAAAGAGCTAGGGGAACTCATTAGCATAACTCATTAGCATATGCCACACCCCCTGACATCAGGGGCCCGGTGGTGGACCTGCAAGGCCAGCGGGAGTGCGAGGAAGCCCCGCCAAGGCCCTCCCTGGCCCCAGGCAGGCGGGGGTGGGGAGAGGTGGGAAGCAACTTACCCTCCCTCTTCTCCTGCCTCCTCCTGGCTGAATGAGGGTTGGAAGCGGGGCAGCCGGAAGCAGGGGGCGGGGCTTCGTCTTGTGCCCCGCCCCCTGCACCTCACCCGCGTTCCCCCCCCCCGAAATGACCTCTGGTCAGTGTAAGGAACGCTCAGTGATTCTGCCAGACATGATCGGTAACACATCCTGGTTGCCTGCATCTTTTCCCCTCACTCTCCATCCCACCTGTCCTCTGCCATATCTGTGGTCCACCAACTGCAAAGGATTGTGCTACTCAAAAAACAAGCAAACAACCCCCCCCCCATGATGAGTGAATCTGGATGGCAACAAAACAAATTCAGCACAAGCTGTGGTTAGCAAACCAACTACCGTCTCCGGTATGAAATCCCGGTTTGGTACAAAGCAACAAGTCTTGGTTTGTTAGACCATCTGCTTTCAGTGACCTTGTGTGGTCTGAGTGGAGGACTTAGGATCTAAGAGACCCAGGTTCAAATCCCTGTTCAAGTCCATTGGATGATGCTGGGGCCCGTTATTTCCTCTCTACCTAACCTACCTCAGAGGGTTGTTTTGGGGCCATGATGGAGGAGTGGAGCACCATACATATTGCCCCGCGCTCCTTGGTGAAAGGGCAGGATAAAAACGTGCTAGATTGCTGTTTTAGCTGTCTAACTGGGCTTTGATTGAGCCACAGTTTGTTATGATGTCCGAGTCCATCCTATGTGTTTATATCAGAATTGCAGAGCCTGCTTCCTTGGTAAGAGCAGTGCAAAGAGATAGGAACATTTCCAGCTATCTGTTGCATGTTGTAGGTGGAAACTGTAAGAATGCTGTTTGCAGAATCATTTGAAACACTGATTCAAAAAAGCTAAAACTAGAATAAATGGTGTTAAGTCGTTAAAGTGCCACTGGGCTTCTGCTTGATTTTGGGATGATGGCTCGGGGGTCCCCAACGTGGTGCCCAGGGGAGCGAGCCATGGCTCCTGCCGACACCTTTTAGAAAGTGGGGGGGGTGGG